CTGCTGACTAATTGAACAGGTGCGCAGTGACATAATCCCATCGTTATGATGTCGTTATGGTATATATACCCAGAATGACTATAAATACTAATAGATAAAAATACTAATAAATACATTTTTTTTAAAGTCAAATAACATGACCCTGAAATGATATTCTTTTAATGCAAAGTTACCTAAAACATGTGTCCCTAATTTTTGGGTGTGTGCCCATATGCAGATTATTTTTTTGGTATCTCAGCTCTACTTTCCTGTTTTTCTTTGATATAGCAGAGGTGCCGTTTTGCAAACCAGATGTAGAGCTAGAAAGCAGCAGGAGCTTATGACGCCAAACTTGATTGGCTATATATCTGTTACAACAGCAGTTTTAACACAGCCACAGAGGCAGCTGTGAAACAACGATACCACCCTAGAAAGGTAACACCCCTCCCTCCCCCAATCCTTTTTACCTCAAAGCAGCTGGAGCAGCTTGGTTGGGTGTTCCTGACAACTTCCATAAATTATTATATATTTTTGTATTTCAAATTTCATCTGCATTCATGTGAAGCAGCCAGGGCCCCAGCAGAAGCAAGCTTTGGGGTGTCAGCTGAGGAGGCAGCGAATCCCTCAGTTGCAGTACTGCCACTGGCTCCCTGGCTCTGTGGCCCCAGAGAACCTTGGCTAATTGAATTGCATCCTCTGATTAGATTATACTCGCGGCAGCTTGCTGCCAATCTGAAGTATGGGTGCCTTCTATCCTACTTAACCCTTCTGCCCCCCACCCGCTGCTACAGGCTTGCGCACACAACACACACACAAACACAGCCAAGCCAGAGTGCCCAATATATTCAGGGGCCATCAAAGTTGGCAAGTTTAGTTATTTTTCTTTTGCATTGTCCTGCCTTGTAAAAGTGGCCATCTTTCACCGCCTGGCCCTCACCACCGCTCGTTTTTCACCAAACAGCCGAGTCTGGCAAACGCTCAGGGTCATTGCTTCAGCTTTGTTTTTCTGTTTGTTTTGCGTTTTTTTCCCATGTTTCAAACTCAGCAGCTGTGTGGCCGACTCACCAAGGGTCTAAAAGAGCCAATGACGTTAGAGCATTCATAACAGCTTGCAGAGTTCGTATTTGTCTGTAAAACAACAACAACATATAATTAAGTTATTAATATCTTTACATTTAATAAAGCTTCTTTAACTGGGGCTTGGGCTGCAGTCTTTAAGAATTAAGAATTGTGTTAATGCTAAAAATACTTTGTTGTTATTGCTATACTTAATCAAAAGTTTTTAATAATTTTGTTGTAATGTTATTTAATGGTTTTTACCAACTAGCCACATGTATTTTGTGCCCTGCACCTCCAGTGTATTGACTGGTGGAGATAGACCCAAGTGTCATGTGTACCAGTGTAGGAAACAGTTACAGCCTTTAAATGGACAGATGTGATTTTAAAAGGCTTTATTTGTGGAGGTCCACATAGTGGTAAACATTTATCTATTTATCTATGTACATATTTATATCAATTATTAATCAAGAATCATAATTCTTTATGATCAACATGTTACCATGATGAAATTTTGCTGAGACACTAACTCAGAAGGCACATGTAATTAAACTGTAATACTCATGTATGCAATAATGACTTTGGAATAGTTGGTAGAGATTCCCAGTCATCCAAAATGATAAAATAAAAATGAAAAAAAAAAGAGTAAAAAATGAGAATACATTTTTTAATGTTAAAATATTGTGCTGTTTCTCCAAATGACTTTCTCAATTCAGAGCTAGTGAGAGAGAAATTACAAGCCGTTAGGAAAGTTCTGTTCTGCATATCTTTGTTGGTATTGTTAGCCTGACTCGCTGAGAAATGTTTGGTCACATGTAAATTGTGTAATTGGGTCCCACATAAACCAGTAAACAGCGGAGTAATATTTTGCCAAGCTACAGGTTTCATCAAATGTACAGCATTATAGAAGGGTATTACACTTTGCTTAATTCACTTGGTGAATGTTTATCCAAACTGCAATAGCAATGTGTACAGAAAGCCAGATATCATAAATCAGCATCTAAAATTGCTGGGGGTGACCAGGAGTCCTTATAGTGATGTGATTTATTAAAATTAAATGATGCAAGCCTAATTCTTTTTGCTATTGTTTTTCAAGTGAGAGGAATCTTTCTCTTGAACCCCCACAAATCATAATGGTGTAGCCATTTTCCAACTGTTTATTCCTAAAGTTAACGTTTTACTAATTGGGACCAGTGGAATCTTAAATGAAACTGATGGGTTTTTCTCCAGTTTCCCAGAGCATTTTAAAGTTATGGCATGCAGGGAGGCGAACTCCTGCAAACAACTCATGATCAAATATTTAAGTGTACTTAAAGTATTTCCCAAATTTAGACACCGTATCTTTGGCTTTTCTAACTTAACTGCAGATGTTGTTCCTCTTTGTTATGGGGTTAGCAGCCATCTTGGAAAAATGTCTGCTTCATGGTGACCTTTATTGCTAATGAGCTAATCCATGCATTTAATTGAGAGTATGCAGCTTCTGCTATCCAGAGGTGTCAAAAGTACTCATAATCTTTACTTAGGTAAAAAAATGACTTTTGTAAAAGTAAAAGTACTGATTGAAATATTTTATTTAAGTAAAAAAAAGGTAAAGGTTTTGCATTGTACTTAAGTATCCACACAAGTAAAATGTGCAGTTTACCTTAAATGATAGAAATTATACAATTTTATTGTAAAACCTTGTATTCGTATTTTTCTGACGTTTTTGGAAGAGAGGGTTATATAGATTGAACTAAAGTCCACAGCATTACATTTGCAAATATCATTGAAATTGAAATAGAACTTGTAACATAATTTAACATATAAATTTGAAATTAAATATTGGGGGAACTGATGGGGATTGTTTGCATCTAAAAAGCTTATCCATCATCTGCAACATTACCAGCCCCCTTGTCTTCATTCATGCTATCAGAGTTTTTCTATAAACAAACTGAGCTCCAGCTGAACAGATTCTTTTGATTTTCAGACTGTTTTGTTGTGGCTGCTACCTTATGATTTCATCAAAATGCAGAGAAGAAACACTCAGGTTTTGAGAAAGTAATAAGTAGAAAGTACAGATATTTTTTTATTCAAAGAGAGTGAGTGAAACTATAAAGGCGTCAGAAAAATAAATTCTCAAGTAAGTACAGAAAAGCTACTTAAGTACAGTCACTTATACTTAATTATTTGATGCCTTCATATTCACCATTATTTTTGTTTTGGTTGCGGGACATACTGTGTGTCCTGAGTCCGTAACATTATCAGACCCCTCAAGCCACCACCATGGACTGTTCTCCCAGCTGCCCTCTGCGAAGAGGCTTTGCAGCATTCGATGCAGCACCAGCAGGTTCTGCAACAGCTTGTTCCCCGCTGACATCAGACTGTTGCAATGTTGAAACTCTAATCAAGACTCTGCATCACACTTGTAGACATCATATTTACACTATCAACATGGCTGATTTTTCATAATCCCTACTACTGAGTTTTAATACTACTACTGATTTCTATTACTGATAGACATTTTTTTTTTCATAATCTCTCCTGGACTGAAACTTTCCATATCAATGCTTTTTGCAGCATCACTTTAAACAGTTTTTTTCTTTTCTCCAACACTGTTTATATTCTGATCACTGCTATACCTTATAAATGGTAATGTTCATTTCACTGTTGTAAACTGCTCATTCACTGGTGAAAAGTTGTATGCATCGGGATTTCATTTTGTATACTCTCTGTGTAGAAAACATGACAATAAGGGTTGTCTAAGTTAAATTGTGTGTTCCTATATTGCATATAGGAACACACGTTCCTATATGCAATATATTTGCAGTTACTGATAATACATGATACTGTATAAACACCAAAAAAGACAGGGCTTGCGAAAAAATAGAGAAATAAAGTATACTTTTTAGGAAAAAGCTAAGTTATAAGGTGTTTAAGTTTATGTTAAGAGTGAGAGTAGAACCATTATGGAGAAAGAAGTCCTTCAGACATTTGAAATGGTCCCATGACCCTGCTCTGACTTCACACACCTTCTTTCATGACAACAGCATTGGAGGCATGTCATCTAGTGTGTTGCCACATTTCAGTTTTGGGCCAATGCATAACCCAGATGAATATAAGTGTTCGCAGAGGAAAAGTCATGTTCTGATGTAATTATCATCTATTGCTTCCTGTAATCGCATCAGATCTCTTTTGAACAATAATCTCATGTTGAGCGTCTGGAAGTGGAGCCCTCCTCCCTGTTTATTGTTCTCCACTCCGGTAAAGCACAATTCAATTGAGGAGTCTGCTATTAGATTTTTAGCTCTGTAGAATAACCCAAAATCGTATTTTTGCTGGAAATTATCAATACATCTTGGAGAGCAAAAGGAAGAAGACACAGAGCAAAAGTAGACCCTGGGTAGAGTGAGGAGGGATGTAATACAGCAGATGAAAGATGAGCAGGAGTAGAATAAAAGACTTTCACCAACTGGAGAAGGGCTTTATTGACATGCTGGGGTCAGATGTATATGCTACAGTTTGCAAATCACATCAAAACTGCAAAACACTGCTCTTCCACAGTACCCACTTTATTGTGCGCCTGGTAAATGTGGTAAGTAAGTGGGTACATACTAAAATGAGGAAAGGAGGAAGTGTATTGTAGATAAAAAAAGAACATCAACAGAAATCCCACAAACAATATAAGGGGGAAGTAAAAAACAAGCTGTATCTATTTTTATTGGTTTGATATCTTATAATAACATTTTCCAAAAACTTTAGAAAATACTGCAAACATGTCAAACAAGGTAAACTTTCAGTGTCTGATGAAAAAACAATTGTAAACATTAAGTATTATTCAGAATCAGCAGCTGTTTAAAGATGCAAATAAACCAACCAACCAAAAGGTGACATACAATGATAATAGAACCATAAAAACAGAACAACACAAGTGCCACCTAAAGCATGTTTTCACATTAATGATTCTGCCATTGAGAAATGACAACATTATAAAAACTTTAACTTAAACTTTTTCTAAGGAGTAATTTCTGGTTTGATTAGGCTGGAGTTTCCCTTCCACAGAGCCACACAGAACATGGAGGGTTTTCAGGAGTTACAGTATGGGGTTTTAACCACATTTTATGTACTGTTTCAGATAATAGAGAACTATAGTATAACTAGGTCCTTCAGTAATTTTTAGCTGACACCTGTTTTTACATGGAGATTTTTAACTCACACTTGTTTTACATGAATTATTGATTATATTGTTTGATTTTGTAAATAAATTGTTAAAGTCAAAAAGTCATCTCTTATGTACTGTGTCAAATGATGGAGAACTAGAATGTAAGAAACTCATTATTTAAGGGATTTTTAGCTGACACTTGTTTTTACATAAATCGTGATTTTTTTTTAGCTCACACTTGTTTTATATAAATAAATGATTATATTGTTTGATTTTTAAAATACAGTTTAAAAAATTGATTATTTAGCCTCTGGTGTTTGATGTTTGCCTTGTTGAGGTCCCTTCTTATTATGGATTCAGAGTAATTGAAGTTGCATAAATTTGGGAGGGAATCCAAATAAAATACAACTGTACACAATTGTTTGACCTAAAAGTAAAAAAAAAAAGAACAGACTTACCACCCCTAACTTTACATAGCCCAAAACTGCCTTCATATCAGAAGAGCTTTGTATAGTCAACTACAATACAACCACATCGCTATGTACTGGGATTTTGATTCAGGTAAATTAATTTGATTAATTTTCTTTTTACACTCCCTTTGCTGTCATTCTGATTTTCTTTATGTCTTCTAATGATTATTTTCACTAAAATATTTCCTAAAAGTTTACCACTAAAAGTTTTACCATGAAAAAAGCAAAGAAAATCGGAACAGCTGAGACTGATTCTGTCTGAATGCGGGGATGCATGATACACCAAAATCAAGCTGTGTGTCATGGAAAAGTACAAGGTAGAGTTTAGTTCTAGTTTCAAATTTTCCCAAAAAGAGAAAGGAAATAAATAAAAATCAAAGTAAAATCCTCCCTTCCTAACCCAACATTTTTGGAGTACATCTCTACAAGCTGATTCTTTTCTGTAATTAAAAAATGTCAAGTTCACGCAATGGATGGAGGACACCTTGAAGCATCAGCTCTTGACACAAATTCTTGAAGAACTTTGATCTTTGAATGCCTCTCTAGCCTAAATATGTTTAAAGATAAACCACAGCTCTATGCATTCTTCCCACTGGTCCTCAAACACAGCATGTATTTGGGGAGCTATAAAGAGCCAGCCTTTGACACAAGGCTAAATGTATGCAAAAGTTTTGAAAATAATATCCGGTAGCTTAAAATTCAAAGTATTGAGAAAATTATTATCCATAATGGATTGTATTAGATTGTAAAGCTTTTTTGAGATTTATTGGCAGTTTAAGAGTTATACAAAACATTCAAAATATGACCTACTAAGGAGTAACAACAGGCAGGTGAAGGCCTGCCTGGTCTAAAATGTGTTCTACACAAACCAAGCCCAGCTCCCTTTCTCCGACTTACGTTCTCTAATGCATTAGAAGATTTAGCATCTTCACTGGCTAATGGGCTCAGATGGTAGAAAAGGCCTTGCATATGTCTTTAGTATCTAATGTAAAATGCACTTAAAATCAGCAATTACAAAGTGCTTTACTAAGTGGCAGGCAGGAGGCTCTAAAAGAAGTGAAGTGAAAACATCACCGGCAAACATCAGCTGATCTTACATCTTATTATATCCAGAGTGGTTTTCTCTCAAGTACCTCCAACCAAAAAAATGTTATCTGAGATGTTCCGCATCTATGGATCTTTATCTTCAAAAGAGCATGACTCACCTGACAGTGGAAGAACAGATGATTGAGCAATGAAAGGGATCAGAAATTAACCTGAAAGAATAACAGAATTATCATTGCACCCCTGGAGAGTTTTTTTTTTCTTTCTTTCTTTTTTTATCCTGTCCTTTGATAACTCGAATATAATTTTGTGTTTCACATCAGCTGTCCACCTGTAAATACATTTGAAACAGAGGCAGCATAACAAATTTAATTAGAAAGTCCATTAAAGTAAAGCAGGGCAAGTAATACAACACCTGATCATAAATTCAATTAAATCAAATAAAAACTTTTGGAATTTATTATCATTTGTAAGAATAAAATGAAAAAAGACAACACACTGAATTATTCTGCATATATTTTTTATTTTTTTTTTAACCAAACTTCATATTATTCCTGCAGCTTTTTGGAGAAAGCCCCAATGCCACCTGAGTAAATCATTTTAAAAATATTTTTTCACTGGAAACAGTTCAACTTTGCCCTCAAATGATAATCAGTGAAGATATTATTAGGGATCTTTGTTTTACACGCATGTATTTCGCAGTCCAGAAAACAAAAATTAAACAAAATTATTCATTATTTTAGGATTGAACTGATTGTAAATAATATAAATATTAAACTGAAAACACTTGCAGTAACTTCATTAAAAGTGGACTTTTATCCACAGAAGTAAGAATAATTCATACATTTTAGACTTACTACAACAGAATAACAGTATTCCCTTTACTAGACGGTGCATATTAGCTTGTAAACTATTTAACCTGAGTGCACCTTTTATTCCTCAAACATTGGGAATCTTTGTTAACTGCTTATGAATCAATTACTTTATTATAGTGCTATTATTTTCATTAAATAAAAAGATAATTTTCAATTTTATTTTATAGGCAGCATTTCTAACCAATGATGTTTAACACAACAAAAAAAGGTAAAAATTGTTTTGATTTTGATGATGCAAGTCGTACTCTGTCTGTATTTGGCTTTTCCTCCTAAATACAGGCAGACTGGGTGCGAGAAATCTGCTCACCTGTTTCTGTCGCTTTGAGGATGCCAAGGCATGAAGACCAAAGGAGCTCCCAGCCTCCATCAGAAGCCATCCATCCATCCAGCCTGCTCTCTTGAGTCACTTTTCATAATTATTGAATTACATTCCTGGCAACCCATTAAGGAGGACATTCTCTTCTTAACCACCTGCTCTTCTCCCCTCCTCCATCCCATTTTACGCCATCAATCTTTCAGCGTTACCGGAGCCCCTAAAAGCTTTCTGACTGCTCTATAATGGGGGACAGCGCGGGGTCAGGGGGTGCTGCCGGACTGTGTGCTCAGGAGCAGTGATGCCTCAGCATTCTGGAGGGGAGTGGGGCAAAGAGACGGGTCGTGGTAGTGGTGTGAGGGGGCATGGGGGGTCACTCTGCTGCGTGGCTCGAATAGGTCACTCACTGGACCTTTAGCTGGAAACATAAGGGGGAAAAAAGCAGTTATATGATTTTGTAGGCAAATGTTCTAGTTTCCTTTAAATTAAACTGATTTCAGAATGTAGAAAATTATTGTACCGCAGATTTTATTCTTTGGGATGATAGGCTATAATCTATAATATATATAATTTAATGTGATTCTGTTTATTTATATAGCGCCAATTCACAAAACGTCATCTTAAGGCACTTTACAGAGACAATTCAACCAGATCACACAGCAAAATTGATTTAAAGTTTTCTATCTAAGGAAAACCAGTTGATTGCATCGACTCATCGACTTGAAGGCAATCCCTCACACTAAGCATGCTTGTAGTGACAGTGGAGAGGAAAACTTCCTTTTAACAGGAAGAAACCTCCAGCAGAACCAGACTCAGTGTGAGCAACCATCTGCCGAAGCTGTTTTCTCTCTTTTCTTGCAAATAGGAAGAATTTCCCTTGGTCTGGCTCAGCTGGTGATTTACTACATTACCCAGAATGCTTCTTGCCTCTAAGACAGAAAGATGGGTGAAGAATGATAAGCGATACAGTACAAGGCAGTATTAACTACAGGTAGATCTTATTTTAAAGTATAACAGGAGATTAAGTTATTTTGGTTCAGTGGTGTTTTACTGTAATAAGTGAGTTTCTGTTCACTTTTCCTGTCTTCTTCTCATTATGTCTTATGTTTGTTATCACAACTGATCCTCTGATACAAACTTCTGAGGACCTCTGCACAGAACTCAAATTCAAAAATACAAACTGCTCTTTTTAAACACCATGACTTCTGCTGAACATGTAACTTAACAACAGACAGGTTTCATCCTTTATGTTAGCTTAGTCAGTGATGATACTTCTTTCATTCTACATGTACTAATTTATTCTCATTTAAGGAGTTGTTCAGAAAATGTTAAACTCTAAAGTTACAGAATGAACTTATGTTACAATAACATTTATCAGTCTTTTATATGTAATCAGGAAGTAGGTGTGATAAAATGTAAACTTGTAAAGTCTTCTGAAATTGGTGGATTCCTGCCTTTTAGCCAACTTTTGAATTCTTTATTTGGTTGACCTTATGCCCTCTGGAACAGGGTTGCTGGACAGTTGGCCCAAAATCCATTTATTTTCCTTTAGTTAACAAGTTTAACAAAGGAGCTGATAAATTGAGCCAGGATGAATAATGCTGGATGACTGATTAACATTTACCATCTACCATGAATAAAGACGTTTCAGTAAGTTAATACGAATGGTTTTAGGTAAAATATTCAATTGAGGATTAAGAAGATTTCATACTTTTTAAAGTTTTTACCATTTAACACATTAGCTCCCCATAAATGTTGGCATATGATCTAAGAGACAAAGGCACATTACTAAATGAAATGAAAATAATTTTTAGTTTGCAACATCAAAAAAAAAAAAAAAAAAAAAAAAAAAAAGTTTAAGACCACTGGTCAGTATTCAACCCCCCGAATCCAAACTTGTGTGGTGGCTGCAGCTACTATGTGTGAGGCATGTATCTACTAGCTTAATACATCTTGAGCAAAATATTTTTGTAAAAAAATAAAGTCACTCAGATTAGACAAAGGGCATTTGTAAAAATACATCTTAAAGTTTTGCCACAGGTATTAACTAGATTTAGGCTTAAATTTTGGGTGGGTTGTTTGAGCTGAAGTCTAATTTGATCTGAACTATTGAATATGTCCTTCAATTTTCCTTATAACTTTATGTAAACCTCAAAATTACTTTTCCCAACAATGTATTTATACTTGCCAGCCTCCCAAAATTACTAGATTTGTGGAGTGCCCTACTAATATCTGACAGATTTTCCAAAGTGAGCTGGGGAGTCTGTAGCTCTGCCATAGTTGCCACCTGAGCTTCCTCATTGCTTCTCCAGTTCATCCTGTGCTTGTCTGGTGTGTCAGTCAAAGTAAAATGCCTGTTTTTGTGTCTTACTAAGCATGTAGTTGAGTTATAATCTTTCAATCCAGACTGACACAGGTCTGTGTTATCATTGTCATTACCTCCCCCTACCCATCTTCCTTGATATCTTTTTATTTGATTTTTATTTAATTTAAAAGTATTAGAACACAGGGGGCTTGATACAAGTGTTTCAGGTTTTTATTTGTCTTTCCTCTTTAAAAAAAGGTTTTTGGTGAAAATTGCTTTGTTTCTGTACCATAACGAAACCTCTTGGGTTTTAGTAGAACCATCCCATGATCTGCTGCCCTTCAACAACTGACAGCCAACTGTACAGGGGACACAAACCTGTCATTTAGACTTAAATTAGGCTGACTGAAACATCTGTAACAGCTCTGGCTTTATATTTCAATAGCCACAGAGCACCCTCACAGCTCTCCAGATGCTAAACTCTCCAGCATTTTGGGTTTAGTGCAATTTGCCATAATTAATTACATTTTTAATTAATTGAACTTGTTCATATAAATTAAGGACATTTTTTAAAACATTTAATGCAAAAAAAAACATATTCAGGAAACATGGCAATAAAAAACTGACTGAAAAAATTACCATAGGCTGCAAAAAAAAAGTTATTTCTTACAGTAAGTGCTTTTTTTCTATAAATGAAGAGGTAAGTAAGACACTTTGCCAATGGAACAAGATGATTGACATTTAAAATAATAATTAAAAAAAAACAATTGCAGTGTGTTTTTTCAAGTGCATATTATCTAATCCTCTCATTTTAAGATTAAAAATGCTCATTCCATTGGTAAGTAATCTTATCTAACAACTTATATTGGGGTTAATACATGTAATTTAAGAGATTTTTACTTATTTCTAGTTGATTTTTGGAGCGTATGATGTGTGTATTGAATGAGTTTATGGAGAGACTGCAGCACATCATTTTCCATTGTTGGTTCTACTATTAGTGGATTATACCTCAGCAAGAGATCAATGGTAAATGATTTATTTACCTTTACTGGGGCAGTGATAACATTTAGGTTCTTTTAAAGGTTATAAAATACTTCTAGGTAAAATCCTAGAAAGTAAACATAGTGCCTAGATAGTTCAATCTTTTTGCAATAAATTGCATTCAGATAAATGCACACACCTGGTGTTAAAGTGACTGTGAGTCACTAGTAGCAGCACTTTCTCTGTCAGTCATCAGATGAGCACCAACATCGCACATGGCGTTCTGGTATGTTGCCCTGCATTGCTCTTTTCGCTGTGTCCTCCAGGAGATTCCACCCAAGTCGATGTTAAGTGAATAGTAAGGTTAGATTTGTCTTTACCCTGCTGGCTTATTGACTCGCCTGTCAATACCACTGCAGGCAAAATCTATAAGACCTGTAAATGTTATCTCAACATCCTTTTATGTGTGTGCAAATGTCCATGCATGACGTGTTACAGAGAAAAGATATATCTGCAGTACATATATCGGTCGGGACAAAAATTTTAAAGGAGAAACATGTTTTCTAAAAAATAAGGTGAAGTTTACCAATGGCTCCTCACTTACACACAAAGTCACAGTGTTCATTAAACACCAAAGGAGACCTTTATGTTAAGATATTTCTAAACATATTCTTTTCTACTTGCAACATGATTCAATGGCTGTATTCAGCTGCACCATACCCCCCTTAGAAAAAGTAAAAATCAACTTATTGTATTTATCTTGGTGTTTTAGCACAATATCTTAATCTAAATCTTATACAAAAACTACATACAGATATACATTATGATGCCACCAAGTGACTATGATTCCATTCAAATGCTGGGTAAATGCATTGAAGAAATCCAGGCATGGATGTTCCAGCATTTTCTTCAGCTGAATTAAAACAAAACTGAAATAATGCATTTTGGATCAAAGGAAGAGAGCATTTAAATATTAGCACACAGCTTCAGTTAAGACAGTTGGAAACAACCAATCAGTCTCTAAATCTGGGTGGAGAGATGGACTCAGACCTGAACCTTCAGAGGCTCATTAAGGCAGCAACAAAGTCAGCCTTCTATTAACTAAAGAATGTCTCTAAGATTAATGTACTGATGTTTTAGCAGGATCACGAAAAAGGAACTCATGTCAAATTGATTGCTGCAACAGAACTTCACAGATCTGACTAAAAACTTGATCAGCAAGCTGAGGCTGATCTAGAATCCTGCTGCCCATATCTTCACTAAAACTAAGAATGCGGAGCACATAATCCAAGGGTTAAAGTTCTGAGACCGGCTCCCCATATCTCTGAGAACAGACTTCAAAATACTTCTTCAGTCTATAAATCACCGAATGGTTTAGGATTACTGTACAGAGTTGTTGTCAGTGTATCTCCACCAAGACCTCTCAGGTCTTCTGGCACAAATCTATTCTGCATATTTAGAACCAGAACCAAACATGGAAAAGCATCTTTTAGTTCATATGCAACACTAATCTGGAATAAACCACCGGAAAAGGGAAACAATTCTGAAACCCCAATTTGTTTTAGATTAAGATTAGAAACATATTTGTTCAGAGCAGCCTTTGGCAGTGCTATCTAAGCACTTTGAAATTTCTGGCTACTGAATGTGATGATGACACACACACACACACACACACACACATATATATATATATATATATATATATGTGTGTGTGTGTGTGTGTGTGTGTGTCTGATTCTGAAATAATTAATCGGATGAATTGTGACTTGAAATATTTGTCAACTAATTTAGTAACTGATTAATCATTATTATTGTAATCGTGTAAAATGGACTGACTCTAAAGTATGCCTTAAGCTGACAAAGTGACCTACTTAGAGCAGCACCAAGATTGAAAAAAAAAATGTGTTAACATTCTGCGTTAAAGATAAAAATCTTTTTCATCTATCAATGGGGTCTATCAAGTACTCCTCATGTGGAAAAGTTTTAGTTTCACCTGGTTTAGTTTCATAAACAGTCTTATTTAGGGGTTTAGGGTTCTGCGCAGTATCTTAGCTGTTTCTAGGACTGCGCTCTTCTGGACAGAGACCTCTGATGTT